ACTTTGCTGGACTGGAACACGGACTCAGTGACAATGCAGGAGAGATTATGAGCCGTGATCAGCATCCAGAGATGCACGCGGCACACACAATATTCTGACTAATGAGAGTCGGTTCAGTCCACTTGTTCTCTTCCTACCTTTCTCCAAGTGACAACTGAGTCCCAGGAAGCCAGAAGCAGGTACAGAAGTGAGGGACACAGCTCAGAAAGCTGGAGTGAAGAAGGAGTGGAGAACATGCGGGCAGATGGGCACAGGCCAGCCTTCCTCCCAGACCACAACCCTGAACTCTATTCTGCAATCAGACAGCTTTCTCCAGACAGCCACCACTGGATGAGGCCAAAGAATTTCTGTTTGGGGTCAGGGAGCAACCGATCTCTCAGGGCCCCAGCAGGACAGCCTCTGCTCCCTCCCCAGCCTTGTCCCTGCCTCCATCACACTCTGCTGGCTCCCACTCTGACTCCTACCAGTGCTGCTCTCCAGATACCAAGCGCTTTTCAAGCCCGTGGCCTTGCACATGCGTCTGTCCCTTGAAGGGCTGCCCACCCCTCCATCACATGGGAAACTCACGGAAGAGCTCAAGGGTGCCCTCACAGGAAATTTTACCCACAGGTTATTGGTAATAATCGACTAATAATGACAGCAACTAACATCTGCAAGCACTTGTTCATCTCTGGAAGATCCTGCACTCAGCTTCTAACCACAGCATCTCCTTGTTCCTCACCCCACCACCCTGGGCAGGTAGCCTGTGTGCATGACAGGGAAGGAGGCATCCTCAGCTGGGGCCAAGGCGGCAGCCTGAAGACCCATACCCGGGTGAGCCTTGCGCCTCCCTCCCCACTCTTGCTTGCTATGGAAGCCTTAACCCCACAGGTCCTCACTGTCTAGCTCCAGGCCCCTTCCTGCTGCCTTGGTCATCTGGAAACCTCTTGCTCAACAGAAAGTCTGCCGTGGACAGAAAGTTTACGCTGAAGAAATCAATGAGCCCTGCCTGCAAAATGGCAGCCAGCTGAGAAAGGCTCAGTGGACGCACACAGACTCCCTGGAGACAGGGTCATGCTAGACTCAAATTCCCAGGACAGGACCCATCTCCAGAAGGCCCCAAGAGGCTTCCCCTGTCTGGAGAGTGGGAGGCAGATGAGACGCGGTCCAACCCTCTGAACCAGAGGAGGTTGGGCCTTTAATAGCCCAACACAAAGGAGGAAATGACGGTGATGGTACCAGTGACAACCACTTCCTACATCCCCCGTACACCAGGTATTCCACTAAACATGCTCTCCTTGTTATGGTCTCACACACCCCTCTGAACCCCATCAGGCAAGCATTACCACAGTTCCCATTTTACAGATGAGAAAACTGGGGCTCCGGAGAGTAAGCATCACAGAGGGTTCCAGAGCACTAAGGCTTCAAGCTGTAATTTCAGTTAGGCCTGCCTGGCTGGCTCCCTTGCTCTTCATATTTGCAACTTTCTATGAGGGGTAGGCTTGTCAACTCCAGGTATGTCAGGACAAAGAAAAGTGTCCCGGTCTTGGCTGGCAGGATCTCAGCTGGGACCCACTATCCAGCCCATACCACGAGGGTTCTGGGGGTGCACAGCAGGGGTGGCTAGGTTGGGAGAGAGGGCAGGGTAAGAGTTCAAGCCCAGGAGTTGAACCCAGGTCAGGCCTCCAAATCCACTAAAGCAGACTGGCCATAGCCTCTGCTGGTTGGTAAGTGTTCGCTCTGGGCCTGTGCTCATTTAGATAAGAATAGTGGCTAAGCTTCCAAAGGGGCAAGCGAACTTAGCAGAAATGTTCTAGCCTTAGAAAAAACCATCTCCTTGTCTTCAGCTTCTAAAGACTTTAGCAGCCAGATTAGAATTTAACCTCTACTCTGGCTCAAATAGCAGAGAACAAAGTCTGAGTGGGGGGGCCTGGCCCTAGCTCAGGCCTTTAAATGGCTGCTTCCCCAAAGCTGTCAGCCTCAGGTTGCTGGAGTTCGAACCTCACACCTCTCCCCCTGGCCAAAAGTGCCCTGAAGGCATTCGAGGAACAACAACAACAAAAAAAAAAATATGCTGAGACTAAGAAGCTACATCTTAAGGAACTACCATTAGCTCCTGGTATTAGAAAATAGCAATGACTGTTGGCTTTAACTGCTTCCAGCTCCTTAGGGGAAAGCAAAGGTGGCAGGTTGGTGTACAAGCCTTCCATAGAGAGAGAGTGGCCTCTGGAATGAGTAAGTGGGGGGCCCTCCTCCCTTACAATCTTTCACAGTGAACTCAGCAACAGACTCAACAATAAGAGTGGATTCCACTCTTATTGCAGATGCAACATCTAAGACTAGATTTCTGAATTTTAAAAGTATAAAGGTCAATGGGGTCAATGCAAACATTCAAAAAACAGCTGATGCTGATAGTCTTATTCAGAATAAGACTCCACATGCATGGACTCCTATCCATATCCCACCCACCTATACCCAAAGATGTGGTTTGAAAGGGTTTCAGAGATTTCCCAGCTGCCAAACCCAATGCTCTGAAGTATGGCTGTCCATGCTGAGCACTTGGGCTGGCCGGGGTGGCATTTGTGTTTAGAAATGTCAGGACCAGCACCATAATTCAGAAACTTACCTCCCACTTGGGGTCGCCATCAATTTCCACCACCTTCAAGCCATGCTTATTCTTCAAGTGCCTGTTGAACTCCCATTTGGTGCCATACACGAAGCTACAGACGGGACACTTCAAGCCACCTGCAAGCAGACGTGAAAGGACACATTGAAAGCATGAAAAAATGGCACAGTTCTTTCTAGATAAATTACTGATTCTTAACACTCTATTGTTTTGCCTCTAGTACTTAGAACCT